CAGAATCTCCCATGCCGTGTGGAGGGCTTGTAGGAAAGATGCTCAGACATGAAGACGTTTGCACCATGGGGAAATGGGGCACTTGGATTCATTTTTATTAGGAAGTCGAGTGGAAATATGAAACGCTAGAGTTTCTCCCAACCCTAGATGTTTAAAAAAAAAGTTAAAATGTTAGGGGGTATGGGCAATGCTGAAAGGTGCCTGATCATCGTAACATGGCCCAAGGATGCTGAGATGATCTTTATGGTTTTTTTTCCAGCACATTTCTTTGAGAATCATTCGAATTGCAGTGAAGCTGCCTTTTGCAAAGGCACTCCGTTTCTTTTCTTCGGCTGGGCCGAGTCTGGAGACTCCAGCTCCTGTAACCAGACTCCCTTTGGAAACAGGTCGCAGTGTTCATGGGGCTCTTGCCTTTCTCCCTGGGTGAGCCCGCTGCCTTTGGCTCCCCTCAGACACCCCCACCTCTCGCCGGCACCCTGGGTGCGGTGCAGTCCTCGGATGGGCAAACCCAGCGGTGCTCATTTTGGGTGATTGGGAGCTGAAACTCTTGGCTTTTCCCTCTTGTTGGATCTGGATTCCTCCCATGATGGAGCATGGCAGGAGACCGTGGAGTGGTCGCATGCTCCAATTTTTTCCAGTTTTCCAGTGTTTTCCAGTTAGAGCATGAGGAGAAAGGCATCAGCTCTTTGCTATGTGCCTGTGAAAGGCAAAGCCCTTTAAAAACAGCTGGCAGAGTGTCAGGGTAGCAGTGGGGTTTTGCGGAGGTCCTCTCCTCTTTGCGATGCCTCGCATAGTCTTTACAACTTCTTTTGCTGTGTTTTCACTTCGCTTGTGCTCCTGATGCCAGGGCAGCCTCTTGCCCATGAGCCTTCTCATCCCACTCCAAAAATATCAGGCTTTACAAGCCCACTGGAGCATGGCAGCGGGCTCCACAGCTGGCAGCCCCGTGGCTGATGCCAGAGAGAGGCAGACATCCGTTATAACGTGGCGACGGGAGAGGGTTGGGACAAACACCACCTGACCTTTGAAACGTAGGGAGAAATAGTATGTCTCCAGGTTGAGACACTGCTTTGGATGCTTCCCGATACGTCCCGCTGGCCAAGTCGCTGGTTGGTGCCAAATTGGTCCAAGAAAACATCTCCACACTAATCGTGCCTTTGTTTGGTGGGGCCAGCGGCTTCGGCCGGTGCGGGCTGGATGAGATGCAGGTGGCTGATCCCAAGGCATAAGTTTTCCTTCTGGAGGGGAGGAAGGAAAAACTCTCTTCCCTCTTTGCCGTGCTGATGTGCCGGATGGGAGCACAGGAGACCGTGGTCAGCAAAAGGCAGGGGCTGAAGCTTGTGCTTGGCATGGGGAGGCTTGCCCAGCACCAAGGATGGGTGACGCAATGAAAAGCATCATCCCTGCTGACTCCTCTCCACCCCAGCCACGGAATGAAGCCTTTGCTATGCATGAAAACGCTGTGGGTTGAAGTTCAGGGCACTTTACTTGAATGTCTTCTCCTCTTTGATACGGTTTAAGGACGGGGCTGGGGTGTTCTCCATCAGGGGCTGCATCAGTTTGGTGTCACACGGAGCTGGACCTCTCCAGGACATCCTGGAGCTGAGGCACTGGGAAGGAATTTTCTGCCTTAGGAAAACCATAAATCTTTAAATATCCTTTTTCCACTCCAAGACCGATTCGGAAGTTTCCAGCCCGGCTCGCTGGGTGGTGGTGGCATCTCCCTTGGCGTGGGGTGAGCATATGTGTGTGTAAATGAATGCCTCCAGACAGAGCACATCTCCAGACTTGGCTCTTTTGGGACATATCAAAATGTGAAGAAAAAAAAGGGGGCCTCTTTTCAGCATCCCTGAAAAGTCCCGGCTGCTGTCCGCTGAGGCAGTGGGGCCGGACCCCCGCCATGGCCGGGCTATTGCGTCTCGGGGTTAGCGAAGCCGAGCATCCCCTTAGAGCTGATTTTACCTCTTGGCAGCCCGGGAGCAACTTTTTTTGCACCGATGCTCCTTGGCTTTGCCAGTTCTTGCTCCAGTGAGAGGCCTGGGTGTTCAGCTCGGCTTCACTAGAGGGCGCAGGAATTTTAGCCTAGAAGTGCGCGCAAGGAAAGTTGGCCGCCTTTTCATCCTTTTTAATCAACTGGAAAGACGCAGGGTTGAACTGGAGGTGACTGGAAGGGGATCCAGACTTGTGTCTGGCTAGGGAAGGATCCGCTGACATCTGGGATTAGGCAGCGTGGAGTGCAGCGGCGGCGAG